CTCTCTCACACTCACACACACACACACACACACACACTCACACTCAGACACACATACACACACACACAGCAGATAGTGCTGGATTATTACTGCAGGCTTCACACTGAACCGCGGTAAAAATCACTGTAACACATGGCCCCAGGTGGCTTATTACTAGTATAGAAAGCAAAACAATGTGTCCCATCCTGTTTTCTAGTTTGTTAGTTATACTGTAGGTCAAAAATGTAACAGTTTTTTAATCTTTAGAAAAAATATATAAAAAAATTGCATATGTTTTGTTTATATATATATCATATCTGATTCGTCATTCTTTTATGGCTCGTATAGTCTAATATAGTAAGAATGTGGAGGAATAAACAGCTAGATTTTATTCAGAGACTCAAACTGAGCAATTTGCTGCTGATATTTCTATGATGAAATTCTGCTGCTTGTACTGTAAATCAGTGAGATCTTTCTAACAGTAGAGCAGATACTGACATAAAATGATCTAAATATCAGTCGTGGCTCTATATCTCCAGTAACATGTCTCTGTAAGATGAGATTGAAATGCTCCAAACATATAATGCAGTGATTGAGAGCTGAAGAAATAAAGGCTCCTCAGAAGATGTGAGATGTTCTGGAGGCTTGTGAAGATCATTCCTCCGCTGAGGAACAGTGAAAGTAAAGCTTCTGGAAACAAACGCTCCTCAAAAGATCCTGAGGATCAGATTTGAGACTCTAAAACATGGTTGATGGAGAATCAAGTAAAGCTGAGCTGCTTCAGTCCAGTAAGTGTTCATCTGGAGATATTACTGCAGTTATTCTGACGCTTACTTGATCAAAATCAGTCAAGATTTGACACGAGAAGCTCCAGCTGAAGCAGTTACACTAAAAGATCAATCAGAGACAGAATGCATGCAGTAGATCGAGTGTGAAACAGCAGAGTTTGATCATGGTGGTCATTCAGAGAAATATGATTGAGTATCTTCACAGTGTTGATGGATGAGATCTCAGTGTGCAGTGAATGCAGTGAGTTGTTTCTCCGTCTCATCAGTCTGAATCAGATCTCGGCTGTGCTGCCAGACGAGCCAGAGTTTCTGCGTCACGTGACGCAGCTGGATGTGAGAGACAACCGTCTGAGCGAGCTGGACGCGTCTGTCTTCCCGCGGCTGGAGGTGCTGCACTGTCAGAGGAACCGCATCACACGTCTGCGTCTGCGCGGCTGCGCGCTCAAAGCTCTCTACGCCTCCAGCAACGGTACACACGTAGCATCACTGGCTGCTCACATGAACACACACAGCCTCGTCTCCACTGATGCTCACGCTTTCTGTCCCCAGAGCTGCAAGAGCTGCACATGAGTCCTGTGGCCTCCAGCCTCACATACCTGGACATCTCCAGGTGCGTTTGATATCATGTGAAAGTCAAATCACTGCAGACGAGCCCACATCATGTGTATCTGCAGTTACAGCCGCATCTCACTCCTGATGATGGACAAAAGTGATCGCCATAGCAACAGTTTGGCATCTCGCCATCATGGATGGCAACCTGTTTTGATGGAAATAATAATTAATGATAATTGTCTGTAAATCACTGTTTTTGTATGTTCTTTAAAGGGAAGGAATCATGACATTTAAAGTCAGCATGAAATGTAAAATAAATGTTTTAGATTTTATAGGGCCCTAAGAATGTCTTGCTGGATATTCCTGTGAAATGACAGACGTCTGCAAGACTTCTCCAGTCATTTACTCCTCTTAATCTCCACTGTTACAATCCACTGCGAGAAGAGATTGTAAAGAAAGCACAGATCAGACGTGAACAGATTCACTCCTCTGAACACAGAAACACATTACTACATTTACACTGATTCATTCAGAAGATGCTTTCATGCAAAACAAGAAACACAGAAGAGTGATTGATCACGCTACTCTCATTTGTTTGTTCTGTAAAAGTAAGAAATGTTGCTACTCGCCTCACATGGAGGATTTTACTGAAATATGGTCAGTGAAATGATAGCACACATGCACAATCATTCTATGAGAGATTTTACGAGCTGTAAGCAGAAATAGCTGTGTGCTTCTGTTTCCGCGTAAGCATATAAGCGTGCAGGGTGCGTCAGCTGTGTCTCTGCTGCAGCGCTGTGTGTTCATCAGTGTGTGTTTGACGTCCTCAGGCTGCTGTGCAGTGGGAGTCTGAGGAAGATCCTGGCGGGTCATAACCAGCTGAAGCGTCTGCCGGAGCGTGTGGAGCGTCCAGCGGTGGAGGTGCTAGACCTGCAGCACAATCAGCTCACAGAGCTTCCCTGCAACCTCTTCCTCAAATCAGAGAGGTCAGACACACACACACACACGCACACACACACACACTC